CGCATTCTTTTCTTTTATAAAGGAGAAAAAATCTTCATAAAAGTTTGAAAAGCTATGAAGAATTTCATTAATACGGTGATATTTTTTGTTTGACAACATTACTAAAAATTTACTTGCGATTAAGTTTTCATTTTACTGTACATTTAATGAAGAAATCAGTATTCTATAATATAAAATATTGAATTAATCTCATCATTCATCGTTTTTAAATGCCAATAACTCAACTACAAAAATTTTGAGATCAGATTTTCACTGTAATATCATTATGAAAATATTAGTAACGAGAAGAATTATGAGTTTTAATTTAATATCTTATCTGAGATAAAAGCTTTGATTTTGTTATTTTAACATTTTACAAGAATTAAATAAGGTCCCATATTAGTTATTAAAAACCATACTACTAAATTGCGTACTGCGATATACATTATTAAAAATTATCTCTTTCCATAAGAATGACTCAGTATAAAGATTAATTATTTTAATTGACTACATTAAAAATTGATGATATAGATTAATTTTACTAAAAACTAATTACATCGATTAATTTTACAATAAAAATATTATATCGATTAAATTAACTAAAAACTAATCATATCGATTATTAACTAAAGCACTTAATCGATTAATTTATACCAAGTTTTTATAAATAAAAACGATTAATCGATATAAAATATCGATTAAATCTATATCGAAATAATAACAGTCACTGCTATTTGTCACTGTTACTTTTGGGTCCCAGTAGCAGAAGTAACAGTGACTGAAAAGTAGCAGTTTTGCCCATCTCTACTTGTAACTGATTCATCAATTCTGTTGAGACATAAAACTAAAAGGTCATATGTGATTCAAGTTCTAAGCTTAAAGTTCAGGTTAAAAGACCTTAATAAGGTGAGGCATGAGTTGCAGGCTGTAGAACATGAATTGGAACCTTTGTCATAAAAGTGGTGAACATTATAAACTAACGAATTATTTAAATATAGTGGTGGATGAAAATCTACTAAATTGAATTTATTAAACCAAAAATCACAAGTGATAATCTACCACTTTAAAATATATATTTGCTATCCAGAGCAAGTTGGCATCTCTGCAATATTTCATTCTTGAATAAATAAGTGTTTTAGCTTACATTCCTATGTAAATGATAAATATCAATAAAACGATTTTTTTTTTCTTAGCTTTCACATTGTTATTTTCAATTCTCGATTATATTCGAGTGTGAAAAACTATAACAGCATAAAATACATCGCCGCTCGAATTATCTCGAGTGTGCACAGTTTGACATGTTTAGCGCGCTCGAATTAACACGAGAGCGCAAGTTAAGGGGTTAAGATAAATTAAAAAGAAAAAAAATTATAATTGCAATTAAAAGAACAAAAAATAGCTTACCTTGGTTTAAAACTTTTTAAAAATTGATTGAAGTAGTATTTTCAACTTTGAGAGGAAAATGTCGACGAAATGAGATCAGATCGTCAGGAAACAATGAGAAGAAAAATGTGTTCTTAGATGACGACTAGCCAGGTGCAAAAGCAATAATGAGAAGCAATTTACCTGGTCAGCAAGAAACAACAGTTTTGTTATGACACATAGAATAATAGAATGTCGATTTACTGCCATTTCACGATTTGCCATCATAATAGCAAATTTGTAATTATTTTAATCTAACTTCACGTCGGCGTGCAAAAGATTTTGTTTAACAATGGTGACTTGTAAGTTGTAAGCAAAATGTTTACATTATATTTATTATCTTCAAATTTGAGTTTTAGTAAGCCGAAGTTGACTGATTTTAGTGTTATGTTTTGAGAAGGATTCCCTGAATTTAACAAATATACGCCCAGTTTATCTTTTTGTTCCAAAAATGAAAAAAGACAGTAGGTAGTTATTATTCAGCAGAAACAAGAAAATTCTATTTACCATAATACATTAATCATATAAATATTCGTAATTCGATATAAAATTAAAGCTTTTTTTAAGTATATTTATAAGTATTTTTAACACCTGACTTATTCTGACCGGTCATGGCCTAGAAATTGTATTAAAGTGTTAAGTAAACTTTGATAATTGTATTTACTACGAAGATTCATGCATGCTATAACTAGTTTCAATTAGTAAATCTTGGGGTATAAAATTCAAAACTGATTTTATAAAAATAAATTGGAAGTTAACTTTATGGAAATTTAATTATTCTCGTCAAATTTAACTGTCACCACTCTTTAATTTTTCTAGGTTGTAGAAAATTTTGTATTTGGCGTACACTAATGTGTAGCTTAGGACTGGAGAGGTTAGACAAATATAAATAGTACCACTTTTCTATAAGATTAATTTAACACAGGCCACATCAGTGTTTTTGTACTTGGCAATGGGACCTCCGTAGCCGAGCGCTATCGCCCACCAAACACTGTGCGAAGTGTGGAGGTGGCTGGTTCAAATCCCTTCATAACCCTGGATGCTTTCTGCTTAACCCGTATTGTCCCGACTTTATATATTGAGATGATACAAGAAGTGGTTTTATGGAAAAGGTGGTATAATATATTATCGAAATTAATTGGTTTTTCTACTGTTAGGGTACTCAAAAAGTCTTTGATAGATCAAAAAGTACTTGCTCCTTTTAATTCTAGATCTAGTCAGAAATAACTAAATCATTGTGGTATCTGAGTATCTTTTAATTCACCCAGATAAATGAAAATTCTGAAAAAAGTTTCCCACCACAATGAATGTCTTTGAAAAAAGGAACTGTCCTAAATATATGACGCTGGGCGTTAACCGGTTAATGTCCTTCTCTAAATAGTTCTATTCTTTTATTTGACAAAGGTTTATTAGCCTAAATTGAGCATGCAAGTCTGCAAATATATGTAATTTCAATGAATTATAAAGTAGTTGTCATTTTAGCCAATAGGGATTCCACGGGCGAATAAAAATGCAAAAAAGAGCTGACCAAAAATTTGCAAATTTTTAAAGCATATTTTTCTCTGTTTGCTATTGAAGTTGATTGCAAAGATGCTTTTGCTTTGTAGTTATTATTAACTAATTGAAGATACATTAAATTAATAAAATAATTCGAATTTTTACCACTTATTAATTTTTAATCTCCTTTTGCATAGCTGTGCTAAGCTCAAGATCACTCTCCAAAGTGACTATTCTCTAGTCAAATGGCAAATGAAAAAACATTGTAAACACATCTAAAACGCTTAAAATACAACAAATGAATTATCTGGTCCTTTTACTTATGTTTAAAACATTTTAAGGAAGCATTAGTCAAAATAATTTCAAAACAAATATATTAAAATAAGAATCAAGCATTTGTCACATTTCGTCGAAGAATTGTCAGGAATGGGCAAACAATTACATCAGCTATGCAAGGTACTATGATGATAACATGGAACATTTTCTTTCTGTTTCATGATATTTTATAACAGAGCTTAGATACTTTCGCATCACCTGATTTTAAATCTTCATTCAGTTTCTCACTAGAAGCTTCAGTTTTTATGCAGTTTAATGATATATTCCTATCCAAGATTTTTTTTTATTTAAATTCCCTCGAGTGAATACCCTGCGTCTAAACATATCTGCTACTTAGAGAGTGGTAGGAAGAAGGTGATGATGCATTTCAATTTATGATGTGATATGTTACTGTCATATACAGTGATGATAACAGGTGACCCCATGGCATTCAACGTGTTAAAAGTAAATAATAAAAAAGTAAGCATGCACTAGACCTTATTCGATACTGCTTCAATGAAACCTTAACCATAGTGTTTCGATGCAATTCACATAGCTACCAACTCTTTCCGGTTTTGCCGGAAGATTTTATTTTCATATTTAAAGTGGTAGCGAAATTCATGTTATTTCACTAAACTTTTTGAATTGTAATAATTATTTTAAATCAGTTTGACCACCACTACATATAAATAATTACAATAAATATATATAAGCATATTAGTTCTTACAGTAGCGAATTTCAACCTGATTAAAATATAAATATATTTTTGAAGAAGATTGCTTTTCGGTAATTGTTTTACTACCACTTGGAAAATCCTCTCTCGAAAGGAGTGAATGTTGGCAGGTATGAATTAATCACCTGGGGACTCTTTCTCTCTCGCTCTCTGGCTACTTATTTTTAAATCTGCTCATCACCAGAGGACATCCTGTGCAAATTTCAGCCTCAAAACTCATTCTCGAAACTCTTAGAAGTATCCAGTACTGCCATAAACAAGGCAGCAATCCATTTCGATTATGTGCTGGAACATATATTAGACTTAGATTTGTTCTTGTTACTCAGCGCCAACCCTGGTGAGCTCTCACTGATTCATGACTCAAAGAAATAAAATAATGACATGGCTAGGCATATAGTTAAAGATATGGACTGCACAAACATTGGAATAAAATTATGGTAATGAAAATATAGTTGCACAGCCGGTGGACCTACCTTACCCACGGTTGTCCGCAACTTCTAGTGGGTTGCACTCCGGTTACACCAGTCTGATATACATGAATGGTAATAAAATGGAGAAATTTCTATATACAATGATTACACTATTGGCAAACATTTCAAATTCTGAAAACAATGTTTATTAAGTGGAATTAGTTCGCATCCTTTTTTTCATAACATAATTCAAACCACACAACATTAAAATATAAAATAAATAAATAAAGTAAAAAAGCACAAAAATTCTTACATAATTTTGCTCTTTTTATTATTCTTAGAATGCAAATTTGTGAAAAGTCTTACAAAGTTTTTACAGGTCGAATGTCTTTGTGGATGGCAACATTTTTCAATGATGAAGAAATTATTCGAAGGGGCTTAAACTACAAGGTCTTTTAAATTCATTTCCATTTTCATGAAGCCATTTATTTGCAACTGAAAAAAAAAACATTATTTAAAATTAATTCACGCACATTCTAAAATTTGTATCACATATGTTAGTGACCCTTATAGCACAATTTATTATGAAACCTGTATAGTTCATATGAATTTGTGCCACAAGGTACAAGTTTATATGTAATGGTGTTGGAAATAACTTTAAATGAAAAAAAAATACATTAAAACCCAAACATCGCAACTAATAGTGAAAAATTTTACAGAAAGAGAAGTATGTTGGCAGTCCTGCATATGTAGTCAATTAAAAGCGAAGTGCTACAGGTTGACGTACCCCTTTAAGACTGAATTTCGTTCGTTCGTTCGTTGTTGTAGAACTGGGCATCTGAGGCCTAAATGGCCCTTTTTAAGACTGAATTTGCTCAATTGAGTTGGTTATATATCTTAAACCCAATAAATTAAAAGTGGTAATACATGTGTTTTAAAGATGCTCGGCTTAAAACTGTAAAAAGTGGTGTCAAATAAAAAGGCTAAAACCTATAAGACGAGAATAAAATTAGCAACTTTTGAAACATATTTCTTCCAGTTTACCTCAGGAATTTTTTCGCTTTTAATGTATATAATATACAATTTAAGCCACGATGGTAGTTACAGTTTAATAAATAAATGTTGTTTGATTAAGATTTAATTAACCTACAAAAAACTTCAGATAACTAATAGGCTTACGTGCTGTATATTGAAAAAACATAAATAATTATATATTTTGCTACCACATCAAAATAAAAATAAAATTGTATAAAGTAAAATCCGACTGCTTTAATGTAATCTAAAATATGTAAGCTACTAGTCCTTTTCTCCCCTCAATAGAATTTATCTATAATTCAAATTTCTATGAAGTAAAAATCCATTCGGTCTAGGTATTTAAGTTTAAATCGGCTAGCAAGCAGGGCTAAAGAGAATAGAAGGGCTGGTTCACTCCTTTGAAGTATCTCTCGCCGCGCCGATCCTCCGACGTCACTTTGGCGCAAAGCTCGCACTTTTATTTCAAGAACGGAGCGCCTTACTAGCTCTAACTAATATTGGATCATTTCTTTTTGCGAGATATTCTATGACATTTGTCATTTTCTATAATTACTTTCCTCAGTTTTTGCAGTGAATTTACAAGAATTTAAAATTATTATCGAAATGCCAGTTTGCGCGATTGCAACTTGCAAAAATTCTGATATAAAAACAAAAGGAAAAAGTATAATTTTTCGCGTGTTCCCTAAAGTAAATGAACAACTATGTAAAGAATGGATTCCGAAATGACACAGTTAATATAAAACAGCAATACGTTTATTCTGTCGTAAAGAACTTTTATAAAAATTCATTATCTAAATAGAAACCGCCTCGTTACTTCATAAAGAAAGGCAGGTGAAAAGAATTAAAAAATAGATAAAGTCAAAGAAAATTAAAATGTAAGTAAAAAGTATAAATAAAATATATAGTATATAGTTGAAATTCTCCTAATTTCATAACATATTTTTTAATGTAGTTATTCTAAATATTTATGATTTTTTTTAAAAATTATATTCTCTTCAATTTAAATATCTATAAATTATATCATCGTAAATTTAAATGTCTATAAACAATTGTAAAATTTCTAATGTCATTATGAACCTAAATTATTATTTTGTTTCAGTAATTAGCGTTTAAGGTTGATGTTTCCTAATGATTAAGTATGAACAAATTGCTATTAACGACATATTTTAAAATCAGGGATTCTAAATTTAACTTAACTTATCTTTATAAAAGAATATGTAGATAAAAAAAGTGTCGATATATGCCTTCATTTTTCTTAATAGTTAAAGTTAAAACTGAACTTTTTAAAATAAAGTATTTATCGTGTCATTTTCACCAACTAGCAAAACATTTTTATAAGTTTAAAATGGTATTTTTTTAATATAATAACCAAGAAAGTTTTTTTTGAACTATGTTTATGAACGGAAATAATGTGTTAATTACGTAAAGTTTGAAGGCTAATAACCAGAAAAAGTCTAACTTATTTTAACAAGAGAAAGATGCAAAGTTATCATATCTTTGCTTGCGATCTCCGAGATCTGTAGACACAGTGATGTCATGAGAAGGGAAATCGTAGCTTCAGCTCTAAGAGCGGAGTGAACTAGCCCTTGTATTCTCTATTAACAGTATTAAACAGAGATAAAGGCCAATTTCCCATCATGTTTGTTTCATTTTGAATTTAGATTAAAATGGTCTTAGAATTAATGCAATGCAAGTCATTGTAGTAGCTAAAACTGAATAATTAAATAAATAAAAATTATTTGAGTGTTTACCATTTCTTTCATTTTTAGTTTCTCGTGGTATCCCTGCAGGTGTGAAAATGGCTAAGCGGACCATATTTCGTAATAAACAAATCCATATACCGATTTTATGTTAAAAACCTAACATAAGCGCTTGTGATTTTAAATACACAATTTTATTTAAAAAAAAAACTGCACAACTGCTATAAATTTATTGGCGCTGCAATCACAATCAGTGATTCTGTAGTCGAAATTAATCATGACACTCAAATAATTTATTGGCACAGCACATTAACCATTTATAATCAAGTATCTATTTCATGATTTTACTCGTCAATACTTATCTCTATTATTTTCTTTTAATTTCTTCTGATTAAAACAACTTCTAGAAAAAATAATATACGATGAAGAGGTAAAAGGCCTCTGCGGGTGGCTTAATGCCTCGAACAACCATATAAATACTGTTAATAGTTATTTTCCCCCGCTGCTTCATATAAATATTCAAAACATGTATTCAAAATACCTCGTAATTCCAGATATTTCGTGGTGAGACATTTAGCATGTTTGAAGAATTAACCAAAATTCTGCTAAATTTAGTTTCTGAATTTTTACCACTTCATAAAATTCTTAGCCTAAAAAGAAGCAGTTGACAACCATGGTAGTGATGCAAACGTTTTCTAAAAGTAACTTTTATGTTCAATACATTTCTGAAATTTTAAAGCGAGTGAAATGCCTTTCTCGTAGAATTTACTTCACTATTATACCTCTTCAAGCTCATGGCGCTGCAGTTGTGTCTTTATAAAGATTAATTTTCTGCCTCTTAATAAAATTCTTTGACTAAAAAGAAGCAGCTGGCATGCATGGTGAAGGTATAAGCAATTTCTAAAAGTAATTCGAATGTCCTATCTATTCCTGAAACTGTAAATTTTTAAAACGAGTGAAATGTTCTTTTCCAAAGTCAATTTACTTCACTATCATGCCACTATATGAGCATGGAGCTGCAGTTCATTGTTTCTAAAGATTAATTACCTACTACTTTATAAAATTCTTTTCCTAAAAAGATGCAGTTGGCATACATGGTATTGGTATAAGTGATTTCAAAAAGTAATTTGAATGTCCTATCCATTCCTGAAACTGAAAATTTTTAAAACGAGAAAAATGTCCTTTTCCAAGGTCAATTTACTTCATTATCATGCCACTATATGCGCATGGAGCTGCAGTTCATTGTTTATAAAGATTAATCACCTACTACTTCATAAAATTCTTTTCCTAAAAAAAGATGCAGTTGGCATCCATGGTATAAGCAATTTCTAGAAGTAATTCAAATGTCCTATCTATTCCTGAAACTGTAAATTTTATCTTAAAGCGAGTAAAATAAAGTATAAATTATCAGCATAAAACTGTGTCATTGATTACAATACATTATTATTGCATATAAACTTTATAGAGCATTATAAATACATTCGAATAAAGATGAAAGATAATTAATAAATAAATAAATTGTTACCCCACTTTGATCCAGTTAAAACCGGACACGCTGCATGTATCGTGTATTCATTTCCGGTTCCATTTTGGTACAAATTATACCAAAATGCAGCAGCGCCCTGCAAGATAAATGGGTCTACAATTTTTTACTTTTTTTAAAGCAATTCACAGTTAATTAAAACGTATAGTCTCACAATCATACGTAGCCTAACGTATTTTAGGAAATTGGTGCGAGAACGTAACATTGCGTAATGATATTAAAAGACATTTGGCTTATACTATACTTTTAACCCTTTGCACTGTACCCTTTGCATTTAATTTCTGTTTTATCTAATATCACACTATAGCATTTAAATTACACAATATACTAATGTTATACAATTTTAAAATTCTTAAAATAAAGTGGTTACTAATGATTAAAGTACAAAATTTTTTGAACTTAAAGTGGTGACTGTTGATGGAGCCTCCGTGGGGACATCAGAGCGCAAAGAGTTAAAATATGCACTCAGTCACACAATTTCAGATCAAAATGAAAACAAGATTTTTGTTTGTACATACATAATGGTAAAAGCAATCTTGTTTTATGAAAAATAATATTTCAAGAATGGAATAATTGAGTTACCAGTCTTCTTTTTTTTATTCAAATGAATAAAAAATAATACATTAAAACATAAACATAAGTACCACCAGATCAATTTTTTAGAAAAAGTCTATATTGGGTTGGAAATCATGCAATTAAGACCTTAACCATGATTTGAACTGCGTATTGATGATAGCTTATCAGCTGCCAACAGCCTTAACTTCCTTCATTCTACCTTCACCAACAGTACCAGTCACCCTAGGGTGAAGCACAGTTTAGGAGATCACGTGCCCGACGGAATAAAACATTTTACCAATTGTACTTGCTTTCTAAACTTCGATTTTAGTTTTCTAATACTGATAAATATATTTCGCACAAAATGAAAAGAGAGGAACTGTGAGCGGGTTATTAGATATACTCGACAAAAAATATGTGAAGGAGTTCCTTTCCATACCTGCCAACATTCACTCTTTTCGAGAATGGATTTTCCAAGTGGTAGCAAAACAATTACCGAAAAACTATCGTCCTCAAAAATATATTTATATTTTATTCAGGTTCAAATTAGTTATCGTAAGGAATAATATGCTTTTATATATTTGTTGTAATTATTTATATGTAGTGGTGGTCAAACTGATTTAAAATTATTATTATAATTCAAAAAGTTTAGTGAAATAACATGAATTTCGCTAGCACTTTAAATATGAAAATAAAGTCGTCCTTGAAAACCGGAAGAGTTGGAAGCAATGCCTTTGTGATCATCTTCTGTTATAAATTTATGACATCCCTTTGAGCAATTTTAATTATGACATTCCTTGCTTCTGAAATTGAAACAACCACGCGCAAAAACTATTAACAGACAATGTAATGCACTACTAAATCTCAAGCTTTATTTACATAAAATGTTATTTTATTTTTTAATTGTACTTATTTATTCGTTTTAGATGTCAAAAAGATAGACTGATAACTCAATTATTTCATTGTTAAACTATTTCTTTGAAAAGCAAGACATTTGTATCCACTAATATGCTTATCTATAATATTTACAGTGATACGAACTTGGCTTTGTGGTCACATTTTCTCTACTGGAAGCAAAACCTATGTATTTCAGTGTTTGATTTCGTTAGTGACATTTCATTTGAAGTAATTTTGCTCACCATTGCACATGAATTATTCGTAAGTTCATATAAAACGCTTCGTTCTCCCATTTATATCGTAGAAGCTTTATAAAGCAGTAGTTAAATTGGACAAAATTCAGTAACTTTTTACTCTAATCGCTTTTAACCCTTTCGCGCCGACTGTCACAAATACGTGCCAGCATAAGACCGTATCAATCAGGGTAAAAAGATAAAACTGGTAATCTAAGTAATTCTTTAGCAGTTTATTTGTGGGCGGAGTTATAATTGTTTGATTTATTTAATTCACCATTACTTTAGTTCAAAATAAAATTATTTAGTTATACTTTGAATTAACATTGATTATATATATAATTAAACTAACAATAATTAAAGTAAAAGCAAAGTAAGTCTGTCAAATTAGCAACGACTCCATTTAAGTTACCGTTTTTTATTTAATTACAACTTGATTCTGATTTTGTACGAATGCTTTTCTGAATCACCCGTCCCCAAGGGGTTAATTTGAAATTAGGTTGTTGTCACTTTCCCATACTGTTTGAAATCAAGCTGTTTTGTAAGGCAGAAGGTGCGTTTCTTGTTTTTTTAGTATCCCCATCTATAGCCACACACACACCTCACAGCTCGTTTTACAGGGAGTACCCAATCATACTCCATTGATTAATCCACTGATCTTAATTTTGACCTGAATCAGAAAACGATCAATCTCCAAATCAGTACCCCCAGAGGTATTGATTTGTTATGGGAAACTGGAGGCTTTTGTGACGCAGACAAAATTAACGTGCACCAGCCACCATTTAATACACGGAGATTATACGGCCGGAGGGATTCTGTTTCACGTTCTCACGAACACGGAGCTTTTGGCATCCCTTAATTATTTCTTAACGCATTCACGCCGGGTATTGCGCCTGAAAGCGGGACGGAAAATAGAAAATACTGGTAGAAGAACTATTTCAATATTAAATAATATTCGGGAGGAGTTAATCTATTCACAACAATAACAAATCACTGTAAAGAAATTTATCACGGCGAAGAAGCAATTCAATAAAAAAATTGCATCCGTTAAAAAAAATTGGTAGTTATGGATTTTTATCATTCCCGGAAAAAAACAAAAAAATGACATTTATTGTTACTAGTTTTTACTCCGGTGCGCTGCCAAGATGAGACAATCTAGCGTGACCCACCGGTGGGTCACCCCGGAGTGAACGTGTTAAAAGGGACGTTTAATAGAATCTTCAAATCAAATTTTGCAAAACATTTGTGAGTCTTTTCTTTTATTGTGGTAAAACATTTCAACACGATTGTTGTTATCAAAATTTTTGGTCGTTAGATTTTTGTTTAAATAATATTTAATTTTCATTACAGATACAATTCTGAAACAGCTTTAAATTTTAAAAAAAATATTAGATATCTTAATCCATCATTGTCTTGCAATAACTTTTATTTTATTTTAGAAAAAATGTATGGGTCTCCTAACTCAGTAATTTTTTACTCACGCTAAACTTTTTCTATATTTTTAGTAATTTTTTGGAATTAGTTCCATATGAAAATATAGCAAGTGGTTTTGCCATAAGTTGTAACTAACGCGTCGTAAAAATTCTTTGGAATAAAAATTGAGTTACCTTCACAGGTTTCACTTCAACTCCAATTCGTGGGAACACAGTTGATCCTCCGGCTGGCACATGACTTAACTATAATAATAATAATAATAATAATAAAGTATAATAATAATGGAGTATAAAAATATATAGTCATAATTAAGAATAAATAAATAATGTTTACAATACTCAACTTATTTAATGATAATTATTTTTTTTTTCATTTTTCACATTATCGAATAATTTTTATTTAATAAATGCCTTGATAAAATGACTTTTAGGATTTTTAAGGAATTACATAGTTGCTTAACATGCAGCATATACACTTTATGCATATACACATTATTCCCTATACTAATGAATTACTTCCCATACTGCACACTTTATCCTCCGTTCCCTTCCTTAATCCATTGTCCTAATACACTTATGCAACATTTCGCACATTGGTTTATTTTACGTTAAAAGCCATTTTGCACGATATTCACTACAGTGATGTTTTTTTAGGATTTAAAAGTATCCACTCATGTGCACAGAGTGCAGCACTTTCTAGGGTCAGGGGACTAACACAAGTCCATAAGAATGTTCCACTTGTTAAAATTTGCTCGTGGTGAGAAAAAATGATTTTATATGCAGATGTTTCTCATACGGATAAAGTGTCTATGAGACTGTCAACATGCACCGGTGCGTGTTAACTATCAATAATATCAAAGTCGTGGTGGCTCAAGAAATAGAGCGCTCACCTCTCAGTGATGTACCCGGGTTTGAAACTCAGCTATGTCTGATTGATACAAATTCCGCGAACTGCTCGCACCGACCACCATGCTGACTTAAAATATCCTCTGTGGTAGACGTATAAGGTTCAAAATTACAAGGCTGCGGAGTCGATTATTGGTGGGCGTAAACTCAAAATTGGGTAGATTTTTCAACGACGGTTACAAAATAGAAAACATCAGCAATATTGAACTTGCACAGTAATTTAAACCCAATTTAACCGGTTAACGCCCAGCGTCATATATTTAGGACAGTTCCTTTTTTCAAAGACATTCATTGTGGTGGGAAACTTTTTTCAGTATTTTCATTTATCTCGGTGAGTTAAAAAAATTCTCAGATACCACAATGATTTAGTTATTTCTGATTAGATCTAGAATTATAAGGAGCAAGTACTTTTTGATCTATCAATGACTTTTTGAATGCTCTAACAGTAGAAAAACTAATTAATTTCGATAATATATTATACCACTTTCTCCATGTGTATCATTTTAACTTCTTGTATCATTTCAACATATAAATTCGGGACAAAACGGGTTAAGCACTATATTATGTGTACATTAATTGGTTATAACTATAATATATGTTATAAAACAATATATTATGTTACGTTTAACATAGGGTTTATATTGGTAAATGTTTTAAAAACGATGCTATTTACTTACATAAAATATCCAAGTAGCTAAGCGATTTCCTAAATCATCTAGATATGAAATTTTTTCACCTGCCTAAAATACATTTTAAGTAATTTATCATACAAAAATGAAACTTTTTACAAACATTAATGCATCAACAGAGAATATTTCACAAATGTGGTTTACAGATCCAGCTAGAAAACATATCGAATTAAAATTCTGCAGATTTTAATAAGCGTGCATAGTCATCACCTCCTACATCAAAAAGCGTCCACACGGTCTTTTATAAGTAGTCCGCGCAGACTGTTTAAAAAGTGAACCAGTTGTGCGCATGAACCCAAAACCTTTTATAAAAGTAATTGAGAGAAATTTATCTTATATATTAGAGAATTGAATCTGTAGTGGGTCACAAGTGAATAAGGCAAACCAATAATATTCATAAATAAAATAAATTTTTAGTCATATATTTGCTACCACTTTCTTATATTCATTATATTCTGTATTAAATGACTAGTTCGGTAAGTGGATATCCTTCATAGTGGTCTGATCGGACTACCTATAAAAAACCGTGTGGTGGCTTAGTCCGACATATTAGGTAAAATCTTATTAAATATCAGTAAAATGGAAAAATTCTATTTTTCGTTTAGAATTTCCAGAATATCAATCCTAAATAAATTAACTTGGAACTTTAATTCTGAGTGTAAATTTGATGATAAATTTTCAATGTATAAAAAAAAACAATGCTTTCACATAACATAACACATAAACATAAGAATTTTGATGTAAAAATGTATATCATTAAGATTAAAAGTAAAAAACTGTGAGTAAAACAAATTCTGCCTAATTCACTTTAAAAAAATTTTATTCTAGTTTGATAACCCTTACTATTTTGTCTTCGCAATAGATACAAGTAATTAAGTAACTTTTATATACAAGTGATTATATTTAACTGAAAAACTAATGTTGTGTTCGTTTATATTCTATGCTCAGAAACAAGCTAGGTATGTGGCAATTTTAATATTACTGCGTTTGTAGTGCTCTTGAAAATTTTTAAATATCGTGACAAATTTATAATAAAAAATTTTACAAATTTCTTAAATTGTAAAATTGTAAAATTGCTTTGATTTTAAAATTAAATATACGCTCTAGAAGATTTCACATCAAAATGTTTTAAAAGCTGTTTTTGGTTAGTAATAAGCCTAGTGTTGAATACGAATTAATGAAAGAGCATAATTTTCTTGCTTTTGTCAACACTTTTAAAAAAATAAAAGGCCGTGCGAATAATGCAATTACAGTTTTTTCTCGGAGCCCATGTGGCTTAGGGGATTGAGCTCCCAACTCCCAATGAGGTGACCCAGGTTCGAATCTCAGCAACGACTCGTTAATACGAATTCTGCCCCCGACTTGCAACGAGCACAGCTCTGATTCAAAATATTCTCAGTGGTTCTCAGATCATGGATTAGAGACTCCTTGCCATCAGGTTGATCGTGGGAGTTTTGCGTGGTTTTCCTCTCCATGCAACGCAAATGTGGGTTAGTTCCATCAAAAAATCCTCTACGAAGTCGAATTTCTCCAACTTGATCCCGGAGTTACCTTATCTTCCAGATAGTGTTCAAAATTATTAGACTACGGAGTTGAACATTGGTAGTCATAAACTTAATATTGGGCCGACTGTTCAACGACAGTTAAAATAAAATAAAATAAAATAAAATAAAGTAAAATAAGTAAAATAAAATAAAGTAAAATAAATAAAATAAACGAAATAAACAAGATAAATAAAATAAATAAAATAAAATGGTTCAGCATTTTAAAGAAAATTAACTTACATTGTACAAACCACATATTTATAATTTTTAATTATAATTTTATTAATACCTTAATTAAAAATCATAGATTGCAATAAATAAATTAATGACTTACACGAGCAAAATCTATGTGTGGATTATAATGCCCTCCTATACCATAATTAATTGCATGTAAAGGTTCTGCATATTTAACATCCAAACTTGAAAGAGCTGCCACTCTCCGATTTAATTTTGAAATTACCGGATGATCAGAATCCGATAGCCATGCACTGAAATAATAACAAAAGAAAAATAATAATAATAATCATGTACGAAGACTACATAACGAAAATTTCAACAATAACTTCAATAAAAATTTATCCAAAATTTGGCTTTTCAATTTTTGATAAATTAAATATATATATTTTTTTTAACACGTTGAACGCCATGGGGTCACCGGTGACCGGCGGAGCTAAGATTATTAGAAACACATAATTCGAGTTAATTAAAAAAAATTTTTATATTATAATCGTTAATAAAATGGTTTTGAAGAAATTAATGCAATATAGAACACACAAAAATTTATTTTATTCATATACATAGAGATGTCAACTTGCGCCGGACAGCGAATAAATATTTTCAAGTGGTAGTTTATTAATTGTGATTCTTGGTTTAATAAATTCAATACAGTAGATTTTTATCCACCACTATTTCTAAACAATCCGTAGACTTATACAATTCACCACTTTTTTCAGTTAGTACATGCGAAACTTTTTAAATAACTAGCAAAATCTGGCCAATATTTGCAAATTTAATTTAGTTTGGCCAGACGGGCCAGATATGTAAAATTAGCGTGGCATTCAATGTGTTAATTTTATCAATCAAAACTTTTCTGACTTAAATATATTTTCTCAACCCAATCTTCAATATGGAAATTACATATAAAATCGCTTTAAAATAATTATGTTACTTCATTAATGAAATTTTTAGTTAATCGAAATTTATCGATAATCGGCATGAACTGTCCGGAGGACGGAATATATTGAACATGTTCAGAGCAAAATGTAAGAAACGAACAACCGTAAATAACTTTTGATCTTATGATCAAATCTTCGTATTCTGAGACCCTATCTTAATGATTCAAGGGAATGACATCAAATATGCTGATTAATTAATACAAACTATATTTTAAGTTATGAAATCAGACACAAAAACGTACTTTCTCTGAATAAACATACCTATAACATTTCCTAATAACAACTAAATAAACATACCTGCTACATAAACATAAAATTACTTTCCACAACACTAGATGAGAATGATTTTTAAGTTCATATGAAACGCCACTTTGTTCCAGAGCTCTCTTAGTAAGTCTCATAAAATGTCGGTAAAATTACCAACAATTTTGAAAGCTTTAGTTTGTAATTGTATACCAGTCAATAAGAGATTAAAAAAAAAAAATGAGTAGTTGGCAGCTCTGCAGTAAGGGATTCTATACATAATTATACATACCTTTTACTTATTCTGTAATTAGCAGTGTCAGTTATACCACTCGTTCCGTTAACAACTGTTGCTCTGGTCAGCTAAAAATTGAGAGACATTTCTAGAATTAACTTGTTGCAGAAAATAACATACATAGTTATAACAATGTTAATATGACGTGAAAAATAATATGATCCGTTAGTTTTGTAAGTGATGTAAGGACAACTTTTGGAGAAAAAATGAGTTTTGTAGTTTTAGTTAGACTAGATATCCTCGTTTTATATCATGCATTCAATGGAGCATGATTTGTTATAATAAAAAAAATTATAGCAAAAAAAAATTATCAAAAAGTTCTAATAGCCATTCTCATAATCAACAAATCTATTTCTAATAATTAATGTTAAAACAACTTTCTATTTGCTTTTATAAATTATAGCATGTCATGAAAATAATCGCTCATTAGCATACCTGGTAACTTTTAATATTTTCGGGGATGATTTTCCCCAGTGGTAATAAAATGGAATTTAAATTACAAGTTTAGACAGCTGCTGTAGCTTGATAAAGCTAATACGTACTACAACATTATTACATTGTTCGTTGTTGTAGAGCGGGTGATCTGAGGCCTAAATGACCCGTAACATATTAATATATGTGCTTAATGTTTAAAAAAAAAATTGGTGGGCAAAAAGCTTATAAATTAAGTTTATAAATGTAAGGAATCTATAGAAAGCATTCATTTTACTACCACTTTAAATATAGAAATAAAATCTTACGACAAATGCGTAAAAGTTGGCAGGTATGCATTAGGTAATACTGTTTGTGAATAAAATCCTGAGTGTCAATATCTCAAACAAAAAAGTTTTTTTTTGGATCTTTAAAGTACTACTTTTTTTAAAAAACATATATTGCAAAAATACCAGCGGGTGACCGAGCTCCGCTCGGAGAAAACAGGTATCGAAGCTAACTCGAAGATTTAAATTTTCAATTGTGATTTATCAAAACAATACATGCCATAAGAAAATTTGTGAAACCATTGGTGAAAAGATAACCGGTTAAAGTGCACCATTGTAAACTATCTAAACAAAGTTTGGAAAGGGAACTATTCTATACAAAGGTAANAAAATAAACAAAATAAAAAAATAAACAAGATAAATAAAATAAAATAAAATGGTTCAGCATTTTAAAGAAAATTAACTTACATTGTACAAACCACATATTTATAATTTTTAATTATAATTTTATTAATACCTTAATTAAAAATCATAGATTGAAATAAATAAATGAATGACATACACGAGCAAAATCTATGTGTGGATTATAATGCCCTCCTATACCATAATTAATTGCATGCAAAGGTTCTGCATATTTAACATCCAAACTTGAAAGAGCTGCCACTCTCCGATTTAATTTTGAAATTACCGGATGATCAGAATCCGATAGCCATGCACTGAAATAATAACAAAAGAAAAATAATAATAATAATCATGTACGAAGACTACATAACGAAAATTTCAACAATAACTTCAATAAAAATTTATCCAAAATTTGGCTTTTCAATTTTTGATAACTTAAATATAAATATTTTTTTTAACACGTTGAACGCCATGGGGGTCACCGGTGACCGGCGGAGCTAAGATTATTAGAAACACATAATTCGAGTTAATTTAAAAAAATTTTTATATTATAATCGTTAATAAAATGGTTTTGAAAAAATTAATGCAATATAGAGCACACAAAAATATATTTTATTCATATACATAGCGATGCCAACTTATTCCGGACAGCGAATAAATATTTTCAAGTGGTAGTTTATTAATTGTGATTTTTGGTTTAATAAATTCAATTTACTCGATTTTTATCCACCTCTATTTCTAAATAATTCGTAGGCTTATATAATTCACCACTTGTTTCAGATAGGACATGCTAAACCTTTTAAATAGCTAGCAAAATCTGGCAAATATTTGCACATTTAATTTAGTTCGTAGTTATATACCATTTGGCCAGATATGTAAAATTAGCGTGGCATTCAATGTGTTAATTTTATCTATCAAAACTTTTCTGACTTAAATATATTTTCTCAACCCAATCTTCAATATGGAAATCACTTATAAAATCGCTTTAACACGTTCACGCCGGGAAATTTGAAAATACTGGTAGAAGAACTATTTCAATATTGGACAATATTCGGGAGGAGTTAATCTATTCTCAACAATAACAGTTCACTGTAAGGAAATTTATCACAGCTTGATGCTTGATATTAACCCGTTTTGTCCCGAATTTATATATTGAAATCATACAAAAAGTGGTTTTGTGGAAAAAGTGGTATAATATATTTTCGAAATTAATTGTTTTTTCTACTGTTAGGGCACTCAAAAAGTCTTTGATTGATCAGAAAGCACTTGCTCCTTATAATTCTAGATCTAATCAGAAATAACTAAATCATTGTTGTATCTGAGAATCTTTTAATTTACCCAGATAAATGAAAGTGCTGAAATAGTTTCCCACCACAATGAATGTTTTTGAAAAAAGGAACTGTTCTAAATACATGACGCTGGGCGTTAACCGATTAATACTATCTCGGCATTTGGCCCGAATGGCCACTAACCGATTCGTCGATTCTAGTTGACATAAAACTGGAAGTCATATGTAAATAAGAGTGCTAAACTAAGAGTTCAGGTTAAGGGTTATGGTGTAGCAGAAAGACATCAGTTTGGTGGGGTATTCCCCTATTAATCACGGCGAAGAAGCAATTCAATATAAAAATTGTAACCGCTAAAAACAATTGGTAGTTATGGATTTTTATTATTCCCGGAAAAAAACTAAAAAATGAAATTTATTTGTTACCAGTTTTTACTCCGGTGCTCTGCCAAAATGAGATAATCTAGCTTGACCCACCGGTGGGTCACCCCGACGTGAACGTGTTAAAATAATTATGTTACTTTATTACTGAAATTTTTAGTTAATCGAAATTTATCAATAATCGGCATGAACTGTCCGGAGGACAGAATATATTGAACATGTTCAGAGCGAAATGTAAGAAAATAACTACCGTAAATAACTTTTGATCTTATGATCAAATCTTCGTATTCTGGGACCCTATCTTAATGATTCAAGGAGATGACATCAAATATGCTAATTAATTAATACAAACTATATTTTAAGTTATGAAATCAGATACAAAAACGTACTTTCTCTGAATGAACATTACCTAATAACAACTAAATAAACATACCTGCTACATAAACATAAAATTACTTTCCACAACACTAGATGTGAATGATTTATAAGTTCATGTGAAACGCGACTTTGTTCCTGATCTCTCTTAGTAAATCTCATAAAATGTTGGCAAAATTACCAAAAATTTTGAAAGTTTAGTTTTTAATTGTCTATAAAAGTCTATTATAGATTTTGAATAAAGATGAGTAGTTGGCAGCTCTGCAGTAAGGGATTCTATACATACCTTTTACTTATTCTGTAATTAGCAGTGTCAGTTATACCACTCGTTCCGTTAACAACTGTTGCTCTGGTCAGCTAAAAATTGAGAGACATTTCTAAAATTAACTTGTTGTAGAAAATAACATACATAGTTATAACAATATTAATATGACGTGAAAAATAATATGATCCGTTAGTTTTGTAAGTGATATAAGGACCACTTTTGGAGAAAAAAAAATGAGTTTTGTAGTTTTAGTTAGACTAGATATCCTCGCTTTATATCATGCATACATTGGAGCATGATTTGTTATAATAAAAATAATTATAGCAAAAAAAATTTATCGAAAAGTTCTAATAGCCATTCTCATATACAACAAATCCATTTCTAATAATTAATGTTAAAACAACTTTCTATTTGCTTTCATAAATTATAGCATGTCATGAAAATAATCGCTCATTAGCATACCTGGTAACATTTAATCTTTTCGGGGATGATTTTCCCCAGTGGTAGTAAAATGGAATTTAAATTACAATTTTAGACAGCTGCTGTAGCTTGATAAAGCTAATACGTACTGCAACATTATTGCATCGTTCGTTATTGTAGAACTAGACATCTGAGGCCTAAATGGCCCTTAACATTCGTTCGTTCGTTCGTTCGTTGTAGTGGAACTGGGCGTCTGAGGCCTTCAAATGGCCCTTAACATACGTGTTACATATTAATATATGTGCTTGATGCTTTAAAAAATATTGGTGGTCAAAAAGGTTATAAATTAAGTTTATAAATGTAAGGAATCTACAGAAGGCATACATTTTACTACCACTTTAAATATAGAAATAAAATTTTGCGACAAATGCGTAAAAGTTGGCAGGTATGCATTAGGTAATACTGTTTGGGAATAAAATCCTGAGTGTCAATATCTCAAACAAAAAAGTTTTTTTTTTTTTTTTTGATCTTTAAAGTACTACTTTTTTTAAAAAACATATATTATAAAAATATTTATAGCAATTAAAAAAACCACCTAAGACTTCAATTTTCATAACTTTCTAATGCATAACTAAACAGACATGATTCCTCACTGTATAGAAATTTACGGCAATAGCGCAATTTAATAAATCATGCTCGAAGATTTCAGAAAATTTGTCCAGCAAAGGAAGTCAAAAACTGATTTACTTTTTCCATACCACTATAATTAAAAAAGCATTTTTTACATAACAAATTGCGTTATTTAATAATTACATCAAACTCGTTGAAATTAAAACTAAATAAAGTAATTGCCTTTCAACGCTTATTTATGTTTATCAAAATCATTATCTGGGTAAAACTGGTATCTTTTCTAAAAACTTCAGGCATGATATAACAAACTGTGCAAACAGTTTTACTATAAAATCTTCAAAAATATTTGCTACTAAAAGAAAAATTGTTCACATAGAGTTAGTAGAGATACTTTGCCATACCACCGGTAGTGCTACTGATTTAATAGTGTCTGCTTCATCGTCTCTCAGAACATCGTAGTACATAAGAATTCGAGGATTCAAATGCAAGACTTCTATTTTCACAGGCTTCAGTTTAAGGTAGCTGTTACCATTATCCGTCTGATAGCAATGCAGTCGACTTTCTTCTTCAAGAGTCTATAAGTAATACGCGAAATAACATTAAAATTAAAACGAAATCGTCAAATTAGTGAAACCAATAATAGTATAAGAGCAATATTTAGGAATCTTCGCTATCAGTGTATAAAGCAAAGATTACAACTTGCCCTGGACAGCGGATAAATATTTTCGAATAGTAGTCTTTTTTAAGTACAATGCTTCTTTTTGGAAATATGATTTATCGAGATTTTACTCAAAGATGCCAACTAAGCGGAGCAGCTTGCTCAAACTAAGTGTGACTTGAATTTTTAGATACTGAAACGCTTGATATGACTGCGGAAACGCTTGATGGAACTTTCAATATTGTAGTTGTTGGAGCAAATGTTATAGATCGATCTGCAGTTAATCTGTGATGAAGATATATGTTAAAGATTTAATTCATTTTGATGATTGTCATATGAGGCGTCGGATGTAAAGTGAGCGGCTATTAGTCTGCATTTTATATCTTTTTGGTAATTTTTAAAATTGAATATTTGTTTGAAATCATTTGTTTTGCAACTAGATATGTATATTTGAAAAGATTAACTGTAAAGGTGGACACGAATTTATAAAAATTGATATTTTATTTTCGAACTTCTGCTACCACTTTAAAAAAAATTTAAGGATACTACGAATCCTGTTTATGTGATACGTCACTTTATTACAGTTAAGTCGTGTCGGACATTAAAAGAAGAGGTTTAAGACCTTACTTAAGAAGTTGGTAAAATTAACCGAAAATATGCAAATTTTAGTTAGTTTTCAACCGTTTTTTAAAAAAAAATTTCGAATCCGGAGCAGCCGGTATCCCTGCACAATGAGATTAAAAAAATTGATCGAATTAAAAAAAAACTTCGGGTTTACGACAACTAATATTCAGCTTCGTAGCCTTGTAATTTGGAACCTAATCCAGAAGACAAGGGAACTCCTTGTATTGGGAGAAATTTGCCTTCGTGGAAGACTGTTTAGATGGAACTAACCTGCATTTGCGTTACTTCGAAAGGAAAACCACAAAAACATCCCACGGTTACACTGACAACAAGGGGATTCAAACCCATGATCCGTCTAATACTGAGGATATCTTACGTCCACACTGTGGTGCGACATGCGTGTGTGCGAGCCGGGTGCGGAATTCGAGCCATCTCTGGGATTCGGACCCGGTTCACACCATTGGAAAGCGAATGTTCTATTCTCTGGGCCAATACACTCTATAAGCTACCATTGTAATTAGCACACAATCCTGCATATCTACGTATGTGGGACAATGAGTAAGCATATTTATTCCGCCTGAGGTGCAGAATCTGTGTCGTGCAAGTTTACTGTTTTTTCTTTCCTGATTGATTTTGCTTCATGAGTTTAAAAGAGAAATTTCATTATGAAGTGTTTAAATTGTTTTTAAACAATTTCTCAATAGTTAACAATAACAATAGTTAACGATAACAATAGTTAACAAAAACAATGGTTAGTTCAATAACTAATAATAACTAAAACCACCGAAAAAAGTATTTATAGTAAAAGGCTTAAAAGCTGGCAGCTAAATAACACTGGGAAAACATTTTGTTTCCATGTGATATTATATATTTTCACGTCTCTAACTTCAAATCTGCAATCAGTTCCTCTCTTTAAGCTACAATTTTTATGCAATTTATAATGTATTCAAAACAAAAATTTCTGAAAATTCACTCGATGTGTTCGCTAAGATCCCAACTTTTCTACAGCGTAGGGGTTGGTAAAAAGACGTTTAACCCTTTCGCGCCGACTGTCACAAATACGCACCAGCATAAAACCGTATCAATCAGGGTAAAAAGATAAAACTAGTAATCAAAGTATTTCTTTAGCAGTTTATTTGTGGGCGGAGTTATAATTGTTTGATTTATTTGATTCACCATTACTTTAGTTTAAAATGAAATGATTTAGCTATACTTTGAACTAACATCGATTATATAAATGATTAAACTAACAATAATTAAAGTAAAAGCAAAGTTAGTCTGTCAAATTAGCAACGCCCACATTTAAGTTCCCCTTTTTTATTTATTTACATCCTGTATCTCATTTTGTGCGAATGCTTTTATGAATCACCCGTCCCCAAGGGGCTAAGATAACTTCAAAGATTCCAACTGCTCCGGACACGCCGATATAATTTTTAAAAAAACGGTAAATAACTACAAACTAAATTTTGCAAATATTTGACTATTTTTGCTTGTTTTTTAAAAAATGTACCATGAGGAAAATATTTAAAAGTGGGGAATAATGAAATCCTACGAATTATTTAGAAATAGTGGTGGAATAAAATCTACTAAATTGAATTTATTAAACCAAGAATCACAATTAAAAAACTATCACTTTAAAATAGTGTTTCCTAAACTTATGACTTTTCTGCACTCTATCTAAATTTTTTAGTAACGCTGTGTACCACTAAAAAAAAATTTTTTTTACTGTAAAAAATTGCAGATTAGTTAAAATTCACAACTGACTGTTGACACCACTCATTTTAAATGTTAGCTCTGCAAAAAATAAACAATAGAAAAATATTAATTGTAAACTTTCATGTCTAACTTTGTTTTGAAATAAAAGTTTTTGAAATTTTCGTTTCCTGCGAGATATTTTGCATAAGAACGCGTACCCCCGCTAATCTGTTCCCGTACCTCTGGGGGTACGCGTACCACAATGTACGTTTTTGTAACTAATCAATCATGCCGGCAAATGCTCATTTTATGCAAAATTTCAATAAATTATAGAAAAGCTTAGATGGGTCCATCTAAGAAAGGTTGGGAAAAAATTCTGTGGAATTTTTTTTAAAAGCTAAATGAAGTTTTAAATTATTTTCTCCATTTGGAAACAAATGAATGTATTACTTTTGTAGATTCTCCCCGGCATAGCTTTTCAAATGCTTCGACAAGAATTGGAGAGAGATAATCTTTGGGCCATTCTTCATCTTCAGTTTTGTTTCCAGCCTTCTGGTTTTTTTGTTTCTCTTTATAATTTTCTCCCGCCTTCCAATACATGAGGAGATTTCCTGGTGCTCTGGGGTTAGTTGGATCTATAAGTTACATAGCAGAGTTATGGTGGTGCAGATTTAAAATAACGAACAGTTTATATATAAGGAAGAGAACTTTCAATCGCTTTATTTTTTGTTTCGTATTTTTTTGTTTCGTGATCGAGTCTTGCTGATGATTTGTTATGATAGATGAAACAGTCAGCTGAAACAAAGTAGTTTCATACCTGCCAACTTTTACACCACTATATTTAACCACTACCACTATATTTAAAGTGGTCGTAAAATTTGTCGAGACAGTTCGCATAAGCTTTTTCGAACTACAGCTTATGTTTCTACCAAAATTTGAAATTTAAATATCGTTTTACTACTACTGGGAAAAGTCATTCTCGAAAAGCTTAAGAGTTGGCAGATATGTAGTTTGATTATCCCTTATTTTGCCTGTTTTGCGATTTTTTTTTTATGCAAGTCACAGGAGAAACACTTTTGAAAACGTAAGATAATTATTTGGAATTTTTCTAGTTATAAAAACGCTTAAAAGTGCTCGAAAAACTAATTTGTTTTTTCATTCTCGTTTTGCTTTCGATTTTTCAAAGAAATAACTAATTTTTTACGACCATAAATGTATAAGACTCAGAAGATGTGAAATTACGGCAGTTACGAATAAAAATATTGAAATTGAAATGGTAGCTATTGAAACACGTTTAAATTTTTTAATAAATTTTTTGTGAACATCCACTTTAAAAATATATAAATAAAAATAAATAAAATAAAAATTTAGTTAAATTTACTTTTTCTTGGCAATTTACTGGTCTTTACTGGCATGAACTGGTCTTGGCAATTTGTCACCGGTGACCCCCATGGCATTCAGCGTGTTAAGAGGTGAATAAAAGATCAGATAGTACGATTGTCATATATCTAAATCCTGCTGGAAAATTTTTAAAAATTCTGATTGTTTTAAACATTTCTGTTTAAGTTCACTACCACTTGAAAGATTTTGTCGTGTACATTTCAAATGTTTGAACGTATGAATCTATGCCAACTGCTCCACTTTCTGAAAAAGCTTTAATAAATTGGTAGAAAATTAAATAGTAAAACTTGTTAAATTAGGATAGTTACGCCTATTTCTTATAAGTATCGACACGAAATAACTTAAATTACATTTCATATTAACTTAGAATTTTCAATAAGTGGTGGTGGAAAAATATGTTACAATGAAAAAAAAAAACTAAAATAACTTACATTTCTTTACCATCAGAAAATACTTTTTAACAAAGCGGAGCAATCTGGCATCTCTTATCAATGCAAATAAATTAACAATTGGTTTTACTTTACAGTCTGGTCTCTTTTTCTGTTTTAGGTTAAAAGAACAGTATTTCGTTAGAATTTTACAATTTAAAGACAGCGAATGTTTTTTGCCTATTACTTTATTTTAAAAAAATTGCAAATCTAAATATGGAACTAATGGAACTATAAATCTAAGTATGAAACTAATTATACATAGTAGTGGACATGAATACGAAAATCCATTTCTATTAATCTCAATTGTTCAAAAATATTTTATTTTACTTACCCAAATCTATTATTTTTTCTGTTATTTCAAAAGCTTTAGTGTAATTATGCACCTGTAATAGTTAAAACTATTATAATTTTGGAAACGAAAGTTTTATAAATCTTTGCAATAAATATCACTTGTTTTCGAGATTCTATCAACATTAAAAAGAAATCCAGATATTAACTTTGCATTACATAGAATATCTGGGAGTCAAAATTTCTAAATAGAATTCGGGGTGGTTACAGTCTGAGAAAAAATAAGAAGCGGCAACTAATATTTCATAAAAACGCACGGAAGTTTTAAAAGACATACCCTAATATTAAAATTTACCTGTATACAAGATCTCGCCCTTTGCCATCGGCTCCTATAACTGAAAGCCTCCACATGGTATTTTGCAGGTAGTCCGATCAGACCATTAGGAAGGTAAACTAGTTTTCGAAAGAGCCGTTTAATAGAAATTTAATAAATATAAGAAAGTGATAGCAACTATACGTCTAAAAGTTTTTTTAATTTGTAAACATAATTGATTTGTCTTATTTACTCGTCTACCACAAAAGATTCAATTATCAAATGTATATGATAATTATCTCTCAATAGCTTTTGGAATAGAACTTGGTTACATAAAAACCACTGGTTCACCAGACTACTTATAAAAAACCGTGTGGAGGCGTTCTTATGTATGAGGTGATACTTCTGCTACCGGTGACAGTACTTAAGGATTCAATGAAATACCTGACAACTTTTAATCCCTTCCATTATAATTTTTCCCAGTGGTATTAATATGGATTCAAAGTTTCAATTTCAAGCAAAAAATTAATTTGTATTTGAAAAAACCTTAAGTGAAAATAACCGTAATATCTAGTAACACATATTATTATATATGTTTAATTTTTTAAAGAATAATGGTGATCAAAATCATTTAAAAATTAATTTTACAAAACAAAATAATATGTATTTACCACCACTCTAAATATAAAAATAAAATTTTACGCAAAATGCGTAAAAGTTGGCAGGTATGCAATGGAATTAAAAAATCAAAAAATAATGAACGGAAGTATAGTGAAATCTCCAGTGAAGAAATTTAACTTAAATATGATATTGAGATACGCTACATGAAATTTACTTTGAATTAAACAGAAAATGAATTATTCTTACACTAAAATGAGCAAACGCCAAGTATTCTAGAATGTCTATCTCGTTTGCAGTTTTCAATGTATCTTCTTTTTTCAATCTCCGCAAGGATTCTTCCAGCCAAAGAAGAGCATACTGATAGTAGAACTCATGTAGAGCCTGTCTTCCCATTTCCAAACAGTCTCCGGCTGAAGAAATCATTAGCAGTTAAGAAAACCGAGTTTTACGTCTAATAGCGATCAAAAAATAAATTAGCAATAATATTGTAATTTTTGCATATAAGGCATTCCGTAATAACCACCTCCACAATATCTATTTTTAAAATATTAGTAAACGTAGAATAAAAAATATAATATACCAAAATAGCGTAATTCTGATTGAAGTAAGCGGAGGAATTAAAACTTTGCTCTGAATGATGAGTTCTAACATTTTTAAAACTTCTTTTTATAAATACACTAATGTTTGTGAAAATTGCGATACTATGTAAGAACTATGCAAATTGTACTTAAATTACGTGTAATGTAAAGTGAGGTAAGACGTGGAAATAAATGGAATTACACAGCAAATGCGCACGTACCACTATTGCGCATGTTTATTTGTATCACTGTCAGTATTATGAATAAATTTCATTAATTTTTGCAATTCCTTCAGGGCGTTGCAATTTTCAGGATCAATTTGCAGGGAATAGAGTGAACACTTCCCAATGAGCAGAGATCGCTATATTGGCTATTCCCTCTGTTGGCTGGTCGATAAGAATTCTGACCCCGTCTCGCACCGACCATCGAGCTGACAAAAAGTATTATCTGTTGTAGACGGGTCATGGGTTGGAATCCCCTTGCTGCCGGGATAATCGTGCGATGATTCTGTGGTTTCCCCCTCTATTTCACACAAATGCGGCTTAGTTTAATTATAAAAAGAAAATCTCCGGGGCTATTTTGTCCCACTATTTGATCCACGAATTCCCTTGTTTTCTGGACTGGGTTCAACATTACAAGGCTACAGAGTTGAACATTGACTCATAAATGAGTGGGCTGGTCAACGCCGGTTATAAAATAAAATAAAACATTAGTGAGTTTATCTGGGGAAATTATTAATGGAAGCAACTTTTTTTACTTCATATTTAAAGCAAATAAACAGATGTAAACAGGAGACTCCACCCCCTGCTAGAAGTTTTCGACTATCCTCGGAGCTTCTTTCACAGCTCCTTTCAGATCCCTTTAAAATCTGAACTCGCTTTGTTCTCTCATTGTAGGCTTCTGTGTTTTAGTTTAGCCTTCTGTGTATACTGATATTCTCTTCAAATTGAAGTTCTAAAAGTGTACACACCAATACATTCTGAAAAATTATTTATGCCTTTTTTGATTGATATGCATTTGATTGATACCAGTCTAGTGCCATTCATAGAATTTTCTTAAAAATTCATAGAATTTTCTTAAATACACAATTATGAATTTCAGTATTTGGAGATACAATAGTTTAAAATTTTTTATTCGAACATTAACTCATAAAAAATAGTAAAATAGAACTAGCCGATCTTTATCATTCCAGCTTCAAAAAACAATTCTCTTCGACTACCGAATTTGATTTCTGGGAATAATTCCATACATTGAAAAATTTTAATTATTTAGTTAAGGGAAAAGGAGAGTTTAGCCCTATCTGTAAAAATCTATTCTATTAGTTCTATATCGTTATTAAACCTGTGCAAACTATTAAGTATAATTAAAACGAAAATATAGCACAGTTTGTTCCGGTTTTCCTTTCAAAGAAAAAGAATTTTTATTTAGAAATTTGAAAACATGCACATAAACGACAATTTTTCGATTGCTAGAATATTTCGATTGCTAGATTTCTAGATATAATTTTTTTTATTGATCTGATTGCCTCCGATCAATTTGGTTTACATTTTCTCTCTCAGTTGTCCCTAATACTTTACATATGCTACTCTTAGGTTATTGATGTGTTTTCGCCATTGGTGAATCATAAGGGGTGTGATGGGAATTTGGATGTAAAGGGACAAGCCTTTACTTACATTGCCATCTAGCTCCCCAGACATGATAGTACACGTGATAAGCTAAGCCATCGATGCTGCAAATACTTACAGAACTTACTAGCTAGTTTGTGCAGTAGTACAACAGAGCAAAACTAAAAATTATGTGGAAAAATTAGATCACAGACAAGACGATTGCGTGACAAATTGGGTCACTCTTCGAACAATTGTAACGATAAAAAAGAAACGCCTGCTATATTTTTCCTTAAGTCTAAGTGCATATTTTGTAGTTTCAAATATATAAATATTTAAAATCCGGTTATGTATCTTTGCCAACACTAAGAAAGTTATGTATCTTTGTCAATACTCCTAACACTAAGAGAGGTCATTAAAGTTCAATCTATTTATTAGAAGGAAACTCGGTTAAAGTATGCTAGTTTATTTTCTTGGTTTATTAACACGTTCACGCCGGGTGTTGCGCCTGAAAGCGGGATGTAAAAGAGAAAATACTGGTAGATGAACTATTTAGATAATATTCGGGAGGAGTTAATCTATTCTCAACAATAACAATTCGCTGTAAGGAAATTTATCACGGCTTCTTTCTTTTCTTTCTTTATTTAAACAAAACTGGGTGCCTAGGCCGCGCAGCAGCGGCCCCTACCCCAAAATTTATCACGGCGAAGAAGCAATTCAATATAGGAATTGCATCCGTTAAAAACAATTGCTAGGGATTTTTATTATTCCCGGTAAAAAACTAAAAAATGAAATTTATTTGTTACCAGTTTTTACTCCGGTGCTCCGCCCGATGAGACAACCTAGCGTGACCCACCGGTGGGTCACTCCGGCGTGAACGTGCTAATTAATTTTTTTTCATATGAAAATGAGAAAATAACAAAAAAGGAGTATATTTTAACAATTCGATAACTCCCACTTTAATTAATATTGCGTACCTGAAAGTTCGCTGGATGAATTGGTCCCTTTAATTTCTCCTCTTGCTAATGATGTGGTATTCAATAAAAATGTTGACTGGAGCCTTAATAAAGCAGACGCGGCACCACGCAAATCATCTTTAGAAGGAATATTTATTTTTTCTGGCGATATATCATGAAGCAAAGCTGTTAAAAAAAAAGAAAGATAATTTTTCATCTTCATATATACTACCAGTCTCGAAAATTTTTGTCACCATTTCAAATTCAATGATTTTTGAGGATTTTAAACCTAACTAACTTTAAAAATACAATTTTTATTTTATTCTGAAATAGTTAATTATTTTTTTAAAGAAGTGATAAATAATTGAACCACAAAAACAGATGATTTTGTCAATGGTTAGGCAGATGTGTAAACTAAATCAAAGTGGAGGTTACACTGAAAAATAAATTTCATTGCAAGTAAAATGAATTACAAACATATGTAAAACAAACTGCACAATAACTACTCAAATATTTATTGCAAGTTGTGGTGATTTTAAATCTGAAGTTTTGTTTGGAAAGCTACATTTTTTTTATCGAAATGATATTTTTAGTTTAGTTTATTTCTTTGTTGGAATGCACAAGTTTATAAAGAATGTATAGGTTTATATACATGCACTAGTTGTTAGAAATTAAGGTAAAATTTCATAAACAACTATAATTTTCTCTAGAATAAGCCAATCCCAATGAAATTTGAATGTGTTGACAAATAAGAGTTAATAAGTAAAACGGTGATATGTAAATCAGTGCCTCTGCAATGAAATCACGTCATCTACCATGAGCATAAATTTGAATGTTATATATATATACGCTATCTTTCCAGTACTCCCTTACTCAAAAAATATTTACACTATGACTAAATAAGAATTTGTAATTTAAGAATTTTACGCTTTTATATATTTATTGTAATTATTTATATATGTTTGACCACCATTACACGAATATTTATATGTAATGGTGGTCAAACACATTTGTAATTATTATTATTATGCAAAAGGTTCAATGGTATAATGTGAGTTTCTCTAAACTCAGTGGCGCGACAGCCCTTGAGGGCCAAGGCCTACTGTGCCCATCTCAATTTTCTTGACCTTGGGCTCAGGAGTGCAGGAGCAGATGTTCCGGTTAGGTGGTCAACCAAACGCGGAACCCCCAGTGTTTAGTTCCCAAGCATGCTTGGTACTCATTTACGGACCCACTGAAAAGATGAAAGACTGAGTCAACCTTGCCCGGCCCGAGGATCGAACCACGGACTTGTGGCACGGCAGTACGAAGCGCTACCGCTCAGCCAAGAGTTTCTCTACCTACTTTTAAACTAAAGCCAATACTTAACATGATAGAAATTTCATTTTTTAACAAGACTCTGCCCCTTGCCATACATCGAAATTGATAAGTTTCATCTCCTCAACAAGACGAATATTCCAAATATAATTTTCCACCATTTTTTTCTTTTTTTTTTTTTTTTTTTTTTTTTTTTTTTTTNTTTTTTTTTTTTTTTTTTTTTTTTTTTTTTTTTTTTTTTTGCTGAAAAATTCTGGTATTAATGTTTTAAACTGCTCTTGGAACATCCTTAATCTTAATCCCATTGAAAATTATAGACATAAAATAGGAACAAAAATTGCGACACAGAGGCCTTGTACAGTAAAAGAGCTACAGAACTTAATAAGGTTTGTCATGATGAAATTTACCAGGGTTACACCCAGAATTCAATATCTTTTATGCCGGCCCGTTATAAAACTGCTGTTGCCTCTTGTGGAGAATCCACAAATTATTGAAGAGTTTCTCAAATGCATATACACATTTAAGAACATTTAATTTTATTTCACTTATGTAGAATTTACACTAACTACAGCATTTTCATATCAATTTCTTTGTACCACTGTACAGTTTTTCAGCTGTCAAAATAATTACGTGTTAATAATTCTACACTTTTTCAAAGATGAAACAGTTTTATTTGTCAGCCACTCTATAGGAGTATGCTTTTATTTTCAGCAAATAAGACTTTCCTTACCGGCACTGTCAGAATTATTAGCCATTTCAGTTGTAACTTCCCAATCATCTGACAATCGTTTGATTAGCAAAAAGGCGTTGATAGGATTTGACAAAAAGGTTTCAGCATCTTTATCCACTTCTTTTTTGAGTTTTCCAAACTGTTCTGATAACCTGAAATATTAAAAGATTTACAGAAGACTACTATCTGTTAAAACTTTAGTATGTAAATCGGCATTCGACGCAAAAAATACGATCGAAGAGTTTTTGTTAAAAGAGTGCTAAGCTGAACTCGATTCAAAGATTACATTTTTACAGATACCAACATGTTAATATTTTCAAATAAGCAAAAATTGTAGTAATTCCCAGGAAATAGCACAATACACATAATAAATATTCTGTTAATTAATTACTATTAACTTTTTATTTCGCTACGTGCAAATCGTAATGTTCTTCTCAAAAAACGCTTTCCAGAACCATTTGAATTGTGACTTATCATGATCTTGCCAAAAGCTCTTAATATCTAGAAGTAGATATGTTATGAATAAGTGGAAAAAAATAGTTTTTCGATCGCATGGTTTTTAAGATTTTTTTAATCAAAATTCTCAAACTTATATTATTAATCAGAAAGTGGATTAAAATATAAAACTAGAGACCTTATTTTCATTTTTTGACCCTGATAAAAAATTGCATTTAATAGCAGAAATTGAAACTCCAAATAATATATAACGAAATAGGGAAATAAACACTACAGTAACTACAGTAAACAGACTTAATTTTATAATTTGACCAATTTTTTTTACATTCCACAGATATAAGTTAAAATATAATAAATATAAATTTTTCGTGTATTGGTATTTCGTGTATTATACATCTCAAGTGTGTGTATGTATATAT